ATTCCAAATTGGAATGATCACCACTGGTCACTTAGTAAATTTAATGTAAACTAATTACTGTATATTCTGTTAATGCTTCAATTTGTCTAGTTCATAAATTTTTTTTTTTGTGGCTTGAAGAAATCGTAAATGTCTTGTTTAAATTACTTTTAAATTAATATTTTCCCTTTTCATAATTAATAATTAATGACTTTAAACTCTTTCCATCGGACTGTTTCAATTTCAAAATATTTTCCCTTTTCATTGGAGTTTATATATTGTTGTTATACTTTGCATAAATGTTTGATATATAAAAATTGACTTTAAAATATTTCCCCCTTTTATTGGACTTTATATACTGTTGTATTACTTTGCATAATAAGTTTGACTTTAAAATATTTTCCCTTTTCATAGAACTTTATGTATTCTTGTATTACTTTGCATGAATGTTTAATTTTAAAAAATTGCCTTTATATATTGTTGTATTACTTTGAATTTCTTACTGTTTGTTTAATGACTTGTTCTTTCAGGTTATGGCAACTGGTGATTTGCTAGTTCAAGCATTCAATTCAATTGTATTCAGTAATAGTATTGAATAATTTATTGTAATAGTATTGAATAAATAAATTATCAATTGTATTCAGTATAGTATTGAATAATTTATTGTAATAGTATTGAATAAATAAATATTAATTGTATTCAGTATAGTATTGAATATTGTTTTTTTTCTTCTCGAGTACTGAATGAGCAGGATGGTAAAAAAAAAAAGCGCCCTCGAATAGAAAAAGGCCCAAAATATGACTAAGTTTTTTGGCCACTTTAGTCTGTGGAGTTCTGGTAAAAATAGTGAAGAAAAGCGCCCTCAATTAGCCTTTTTACCCCAAGTTCTTTAAGGTCTCTTAATAATTGTCTTTGGTAGAGAAAAGCACCCTCTAAAATCCCAGTTTTTCAGAACTCCACAAACAATTGTTGGCACTGAAAAATTGACTATTAGAGGGCGCATTTTATCATCCTTGTAATAGAAATTGACAATTAAAGAGACCCTGAAAAACGTAGAAATAAAATGGCTAGAGAGGGCGCTTTTCAGCACCACAGGGAACCCCTTTAAACAGAAATTTAGAGACCCTGGAAATTTTGTTTTTCTATTAGAGGGCACTCTTCAGCCTGTCTCTTATACACATCTAGATGTGTATAAGAGAAGTATTTAAGGGTGTAACTATAGCATGCAGCATTATCTGAGAACCGAAGGCCCGGGGTGGGTATGGGAGGGTGGTGTCATAGCGATTGCTGAGACAGATTTGGCTTGGTGTAGGCAATACAGTACTGTAATTTTATCCAAGGGGGGGCTGATTTTAGCGGCTAAAATCGAACCGGTGGACCAATTTTGGCTTGACAGGCCTATTACTCCCATACTTTTGTATTTTAGGTTGGGTCAGTCACCTAGTTAACCCCAAAAAGTTTTCCTGTACTCTAGTATGTATTTCTACATTTGTCAGTTGAAATGATCATTTCTTTTGAAATGATAAGCCATTTTTAGTGAGTAAAACAACAATTTTTGACATTTTGACCTCATTTTTCAAGGTCATTTGACAATTCTGTGCATTTTGACACAAGATCAACGATAGTGTTCCTGCGATACATAATACATGTATTAATATTTTAGGCCACAGTATAAATGACCTTTGACCTCTCATGGCAAATTTTACCCACCCCCTTAACATTTTTTTTGGTGTATCCTAGTCTATGTCCCTACACAAATCAGTTGAAACAAATGAAGTTGAATTTAGAGATACTAATACTGCCCTCAGTGATTTAAAATTATAAAGGTGTATGGCATGGACATAGAGTTCAAATCAATGCATTTTGGTACAAAACTAAAAGTGATGGTTATTGGATAAGGCGAGACTTCTTTATACCTTGTTTAGTGAACCCGCTGACTGGCAAAAATTGATGATTAGTGCACCCGCCGGCACGGAAAAGTTTTTCTTTATTTTTATTACGCCCTCCAGTGCCTCGAAATCTCCAAAGATAAAATGTGTATTTCTTCCTATATAAATTTGAAGCATTTAACCATCCTATTTTACATTCACCAGTAAAATATTTTCTGCTCCATCTGGATGTTTTTAGCAAAAATATTTGCTAAATAATAAAACAAACTTTTATTTTTATTCCACTCTCCTCCGATAATCTTTTAAAAAAGAAGTACGCGAAACAAGGAATAAAAAAAGTCTCGCCTAATGGAGAAACCAGCTCAAGTATGCATAGAAAATCGATAGTATAGTAGGTGCATAATCACCATAATACACTTGGGCCCTTATATATTTTTTAACAAAAATTGAGCAGAAAACAGAATTTACTTTCCAAAGTGTGTGGGCAAATTTCCAGGTTCAATTTATTCCACCACGCAGGTCTTATTTTACAGTCGGGAATATGGGCAAGAAAAAAGTCCTTGGTATGGGCTTGATATACCGTTATTATGTTTAAATAAATATTTAATAATATAAAATATATTTATTACATAATTCTTGTTCTTTAAATAATTACATTGATGATTAACATTAAAATTTCATTATTTGACCTAAATGTTGAAATTTAAGAAGTTATAATAATTGTAATAAAATAGTGTTTTTATTGGCTTACAATTATAATTCTAGAATTACAATTTACATTTAATGTTTTAATTAAAATTAATAACATTTAAATATTAATGTTGTATTCCTTCTAATTCTGGTTTTTTAATGAATGTATGTATTTTATTTCAGTAAAAATTCTGTAAAGTCTAACCATTGCAAAATGCACTTCTGAAGATATCAACAAACCAGTGGCTAATGTTGCTTGCTTTTTTGTGCTCGTTAATTTTGCTGAATGGTGAGTCAAAAGACTTGTTCTTACTATGAATTTCATATCCATTTTAAAATGCTTTATGGGATAATGTTTGACCTGGTTCAGTACTAAAAATAAACATTTAATTTCAATATTACAACACATAAGCTGTCATATTCCTTAATTCAATTATTTTAAAATAAATTAAAATAAGGTTTTAATTGGAGATTAATATAATTGACAGAACATTTATATATCTGTACATCATTCTTTGCTGTTATTTCCCCCCCTTTTTCAATGTTAAAACAACACTTTTTAAAGATTTTATTATAGTTTCTGCATTAGAAATGCCTGAAGTGAAACTTTGAAGGCTTATGTTTAAACGCTTGTAACTCTTTAACACTGTTAATAACTCAAAATTAATTTTTGCGACGAGTGACTGGTTTGGCTTGTCTTTGCCACATGTGTTTAATAATAAATTAATTTAATTGTAAGTTACATAAACGTTAACTATTTAACATTGTACCAGCTCAGATAAATAGGATATATTTTTTTAATGTAAATTACCTCTTGTACTAGTTTATGCAATATTAATGTTATCAATACCATTTTCCTCCACCAATGGGAACTTATATTTAATCTCTAAAAATGGTTTATGTATTAATTATCTGTATTTGTTAATAACAAATTGCTTGATTTTATGCAGCTTAAAACAATAATTACCAAAATCTTTTTGAAATTGACATAATTGCTTTATTCCTTTTCATTGTCCATTTGTACTATATTATTTCAGCGAAAACTACGAAGATCTCAGCAAACCAGTGGCCTCATCCTGCTCAGCACTATGGCTGTGATCAACAATCTTGGATTGTCTTTCAAGATAATTGCACGATTCTGGTGTTTAAACCAAATATATATTCATTGTAATACATTTTGAATAAATAAATATTAATTGTATAAGTTTAGTATTGAAGTTATTGTAATAATATTGAATAAATAAATATTAATTGTATTCAGTATACTATTGAATATCATTGTTTTTTCTTCTCGATTATTGAATGAGCAGGATGGTTTGGGAAAAAAAAAAAAGCGCCCTCGAATAGAAAAAGGCCCAAAATATGACTAAGTTTTTTGGCCACTTTAGTCTGTGGAGTTCTGGTAAAAATAGTGAAGAAAAGCGCCCTCAAATAGCCTTTTTCACCCAAGTTCTTTAGGGTCTCTTAATTGTCAATGGTAAAAAGCTCCCTCTAAGATCCATGTTTTTCAGAACTCCACAATTAAGGGGCACTGAAAAAATGGCTGTTAGAGTGCGCATTTTATTATTTTAATAGATATTGACAATTTGAGACCCTGAAAAACGTAGAAACAAAATGGCTATAGAGGGCGCTTTCCAGCACCACAGGAAACCCCTTTAAACAGAAATTTAGAGACCCTGGAAATTTTGTTTTTCTATTAGAGGGCACTCTTCAGCACCACTTTAATACAAATTGAGGGAAAATTTAGTCCTTTTTCTATTAGAGGGCGCTTCTTTCGTCTTACCTGCTTATCCAGTCTTAAGACACAACCAGCAAAGAAACACATCAACACATTACTTATATTTTTTATTATAGAAACTTTACAACCAAAATCATAATATAATATGAATTTATATAAATATACATAAAATATATGAAAAATTAAGTATTGGAAATTGTTTCCCTTGGTTCAATATTTTACAATGATTTAATGCTGCAATAACTTCTCATTAAAAATAAAATAATTTGTTAAATTCCTTCGATATAAAAACCATGATTAAGCTGTCTCAGTATTCAGCAAGATATTCAGACTCCAGTATATTTTAATTGTCTTGCAAACTATTAGGCATAATCAATTAGCTAAAAGTAAAATGCTTTACACAGCCTATATTAGAAAAATTAATTATATTATTAGTGCTGGTTCCTCTTCCTTAGGTTAACATAATTCGAACATATCTTCTGTACAATATGATCAATATTTCAGAATGAAGCAAGTTGTCTTGATCCAGTAACTTGTAAATATACAATAATTGTTTGTGTTCTTTCATAGGAATTACTCTTTTGACTCTTGAGAATGTTCCAACTAGATTTCAGTGTACTTTTCTTGTCTTGCAAAATTGGTTATGCTCTGTTTGCTGCATCTGCCAAAAAGAAAATTTTAATAAAGAATCAGATCAAATTAGTAAGTTAAAATTTCATAAGGTAACTTGAGTATATTTCACTTGATACTTACAGTGCCATTGTTTCTTTGATACATATATCTTGCAGTAGAAATATGTCTGTCCTCTGCAAACAAACAAACACTGTATACATTATACATGGTTTAAAATTTAAAGAGGAATGGAATGAGACCAGGCTAGGATGATACATAAGTAAAGAATACAAAACTAAAAGATGAAAATAAGTAAATTTAATAGCAGCAGAATAAATTAATTGAAGGGACCAAAAGAAAACAGGCTAAGATGAGGAGCAAGAGAGGGAAAATATAGATCAAGTATACAAATATGAGCAAGAGAAGAAAAAAACAAAATAAGAACAGGAAAGAGGAGGAGAATGAGAAACAGCTGATAAAATTTGACGAATGCCACTGATGGAGATGTGAAATAAAGGTCCTCTTCTGGTTTTTTTTTTTAAATTCTTTTAACATTTAAAAAGACACTAGACATTCTTTTGGTGGTATAATTATTCTTGCAATTTACTTTACGAATTATGTGATTTGGAAATTTGGAGAAATGAAATTGGGACATGCATTTTTATTATTTTTTGGCAGGATTTTGTTGAAAATAACCCATATGTTAATTATTTTCTAAATTTCAATCAGAAATGTGTTAAAGATTATTTTACCACAATAAAAATCAATTTTCCTGTAATACTTTTTGTTTTTTAGTACCTTAATATGGTGGGACATGGTATGACCACTTTACTGAATAGTGATCCTAAAGTTGTGATTTGATTTTATTCGGAAGCACTGATCACAAATAAACATTACAATAGAAACACACGAGTTAAAACGTACGGAATTATTCCGTGGATAGTCTTCCTTGGAAAAAAAAAAAAAAAAAAAAACCAGTAAATATCATTCCAGCTTATTTCCTTTGGGTTTAGTTTATATCCAGTATGAAAATCGGGGTACTTTAAAATTCAATAATTCTATGCTAAATTTAATAATTTACATGTTAATGCAAAACTAGCAAGTTAATTTCAAAATTATTTTTTATGATTTTTGTCACTTTCAGGGGCCAATACATATTTATGTCAAACAACGTGGACTTCTTTTGATGGAGGTTTTAAGTCATCTGGTAATGCAGTTTGATGTTTTTAAAGGCTAACCATAGGAAAAGCTGTTTCGGCAGATTTTCTAAAGATAATGTTACACCGCTTGGACTAATCTTAGGATATGGATCGGTTGTTTGGAAACCAACAACCAAATATTAGATAAAATCGTTTATAAAATCTACAGAGGTGCTTGGCTCTGTTCCTAGGCGAAACTGTCACTACCGAAAGAAGGAACATACAAAATATGTCACAAGATATAAACTGTGAGGTGCCAAATGTACGTATGTATGTTAAACCAACAGGAGTATGACAATTTTGAACTTACTCTCACGAAACCTTGCTTGTTTACAATCTTTTCACAAATTTGATGACATCAGCG